TAGCACATCATAAACTTTCCTATGTCCTTAAATAGTCTTCATGAGCATAATTTTCATTGGCAGCATCATAATTAGTTTATGGGCATACTATAATTTATTACCACTTTTCTAACATTTGGTCATCAAAATTGTTTATGGTGTTATGTTTCACTGAGTGCCTATCAGCTGTGGTGGTGATTTTGTTTTTATGGTGGTCACTGGGAGGTTACCCACATATTAATTATCCTAAGATCATCTCAAATCGTCATCATCCAATGACTTTCTGTATATTTGTCATGTAATGATACCATATGAGCTCCTGGGAAACTCTCAGGGGAGGTCATTATGGCTGAACAATAGTCCATGTGGATTTTAAACATAGTCTTTGGCACACTTATGCTTTCAAGGAAAGGATTGCTCTCTCATAACTAAGTTTTCTGAGTTAATGCAGTTCTCCAGGGAGGCCTCTGTGGAGGCAAAATTTCTTATTTCATGATTTGCTATGGCTTACTTAATGCTGATTTCCACAGCACCCAGCAGAGTTTTGATAATATTATTTTCTTGCTTTTGTGTGTGTTTCCTGTGGATTATTCCTTGCAAATAATGATGTTAACACTTCCAGGAGGAATGATTTCCAATTCCGAAATGGAGACTGTCAATATTTAAAACTTGGTGATTATGTAAATTTAATCAAACTTTCCTCCCTGGCAAAGTATGTTACCATCCTTTTAAAATTCATTCAATGCCTCATTTCTACCACCACCCCAATAGAGTAGGTTGGTAGTAGGTTGCTGTATTTTTGCAAAGTGCCATCAGGACAGCTGTGGAATGGTCCAGATTCAGCACAGGTGTCCATCTGCCTGGCCATGTGGCTTTGCTGGCAGCATACCTTTGTTCCCTACATGCTCCTATGGCTTCCTGGGCTTGCCTTCCTTGAAGAAGCATCTATGCTTTGGATCTTTCCCATCTCTTATTATCCCAAATGGAAATGATGGAGCATTTTGAGACCTCAGAGTCAGGAATGAGCCTAATAATACAATTACTGGTTGAGGAAAAAAACATGGACAAACAGCTCACAGCATGGACAAACAGCATTTTCTTAGTCTGGGGTAGAGCATCTTTAGAAAATTTTTGTTATTTTTATTGATCTGTATCATATGGTGTAAATGAAATGAGTGTTCTTGCTGTGTAAACACAGCTTCCAGATGATTGTTTGAGACAGCATGCAGCCACTAAGCCCCTCCTGTGTGTAAACACTGGATCTGCTTTAAAGCAAGGGCTTTTAATTGATTTTTGGATTATAGATCCTATTGAGACTGATAAAAGTTGCAGATCCTCTGCAAGAAAAAAGAAATACAATGACACCCAGGACTTTGCACACAATTTCATGAAGTTTACATAGACCCTGAAGCCAGGTTAAAGCAAAGCAAAACAAAACAGTAAAAATCCTTCTGAATAAGCTCAGACGCTCTCTAGAAAAGAAAACCAAGCTCCAGAGAAATTTGGTCCATTTCATCTATTTAGGAAGCAAATAACAGAACTGAAATTAGAATTCAAGAATTTCAGTTAAATATTGCTTTTTTTCCCCCAAACTGTAATGACTTGCTGTTGCTATTATATTATTATTGAAATATGCAGAGCCAGGGGTTATATTCAAAATATTGACCAGCCCTTATAGCTTGGGAATATAGCTAAGCACTGCAGCAGCAGCTGATGTAGCAGGCAGGGCCATGAGTTCCCGGGTCAGCTGCTTTCTTCTCTGTGCACAGAAGGAAAGAATATCCAAGACTGAGTCTGACCTGCCCTCACCCCCACCTCAGAGCTCAGAGCCTGCCTGAACACCCGCTGTGAGCTCAGGGACCCTTCTTTGAATAATGTGCAGTTTGAGGTTTGCTGGGAGACAGAGCAATTGATTCTGGTTTCTCAGGCAAGTGCTTCAGATTGAACAATTAAGTTTTGGGTGTGGTTGAAATCATGGTCTCCAGAGAGACCCATGCAGCATCATCAACCTGCAGGAAGACTCAGCTGCAGGGACACCTCCAGTGGATCTGTGCTGTCGTTTACAGTTTCAGCAGGATTGTTTCTCGAAGGAAGATGTCCATCCTCTTAGGGTTTGTGAACAATTATTAACCCTGCGATGGGACTCAGGACCCATCTAATGCAAATCCAGTTCCATTTGCCTGCCTTTCTGCCCCTTCTGTTTCCCTTTTGTAATTATAGAATCAGTCTTAAAGGGGAGAAGCAAACTCAAGATGTGTGCAGAAACGCAGTTCTTGTGTTCCAAGCTTGGCGTTATTCATAAC